AAAAGTGGAAGTAGGACTACAATGAACCAAACCCAGCACAAGAATAAAAAAGACACACACACACACAGTGAAAATAGGAGGCAGGAGAGTTTGAGAAGTGGTGATGGAGCAGAGGTCAGGGAAACACAGCCTAAGAAATGTCTTCTTGGCTTTGGCTAGGGGTTGCTCTGAGACAGGGAAGAACAGCCACAAACCAAAGAATGGAATAGGGAGCTCAGAAGACAAGGAGACCAGTTCTCCCCTGGACCCCCAGAGGGAATGCAGCCCTGCAAACACCTGGATTGTGTTTCAGTGAAGTCCATTTTGGCTTCTGAGCTCCAGAACTATGAGGCTATACATTTGGATTGTTTCAAGCCACTGAATTTATGATTAATTCTTCACAGTCATCTAATTCTTTTGGCTAATCCATAGGCAGGGAAGGATAACTGAGGCAGTGGCTCCCCATTGTCAGAGGCTCCCTCCTTCCCCAAGGTTCTGCTATGGAGCATGCTTTCCAAAGTGCGTCTGGTGGAACCCTGCACTTACAGGGTGTCTGGACAAGCATGTGTGGCAACACTTCTCATTTTGTATTTACTACAATGTATTTTTAGAAAATAATAAGAGTACCTTAAATGAAGGATTTTAAGGGTATTATTTCTAAAAATGAATCAAATGTTAAAAATCAAAGCAAAGTAATATTGATTTTAAAATACCTCTGCAGTGGTCAGGGTGGACCACAATGCTGTGTGATTTTAGATTAAGAGACACTGTTGCTGAGAGTCCCCTGTGGTCCCATGCTCCTAGCTAGTTCTGTCATCTCTGGTGATGCTCTCTGGATAGATTTCTACTCTTAATTAAGCTATGACCATCAGCTTTGGTGCATTCACTGATAGAAGGTAGCAACATAAAGTCTTCCTTTTAACCAACTGACTTAAGCTAGATTAAAAAAAAGACAAATTGATATGAAAATTAGGGTAAGAAATAGCTAAGGAAAGGTCATATTCAACTATCAGCCTGTCATTCATGTCCCTCTATTATGTGGCTTTGGTCTGTTTTTCTGGCAGATCCCAGAATGTCTGTCTATACCAACTCAAGGCAACTTCCTCCCTGCTTCTCTGTACAAGGTCTCCCAGCTTCTCAGGCCTATTCCCTCACAGGGCATCTCTCAAGCCTCATGCCAACCTTTATTCTGCATATCAATTTTGATCCTTAAAGGAATATCGAGACAGTTTCTGCAGAAAGCCCTCACCAACGTGGAGCTGCTGGCTTGGTGCAGTATGTAGTGTTCTGAAACAGACCCCAGTGGTTCCCACCACCTGTAATTCACACCCTTTGTAATGTCCTCCCTCTTGTATGGCCAGATTGACTTCTATCACATGGCAAGTGGGAAGAGTGTCTGACGTCACTTGTAAGATGGGGTAGAGGCACACTGTGGCTTCCGTGTGCTAGCATCCTTTCTCTCTCTCTCTCTCTCTTCTGTGCTTGCCCTGGTGGAGAAAGATGCAGGATGAGGAGCTAAGGCCCTCAGTCTGTAATCCTTTAGAAGCTGACCCCCATGATTGGAGGCTCGTCTCCAGTTGGCCTTCGGATGAGACCTCAGACTCTGACCAACACCTGGATTGTAGGCTCCTGTGAGACATGGAAGCAGAGGGTCCTGGTAAGATGTGCCCTCTGACTCACCAAAACCATAAGGTAATAAAAGGCTATTGTTTGAAACTTTGAAGTTGGTTGTAACTTGTTATACAGTAATAGGTAACAAGTCGACCTGCCCTTTGCCCTAGAGGGAAAGGGAAGTGAGCTTTCCTTCTCCTGTGTTGCCTAAAGCCTTTCTGTGAGCTGCAGTCATAGGCAGTATTCCAGATTCTTGAAGACAGGGCTTGGCTCTGACTCAGTGGGCATGGGGAAGAGCCTCTTACAATGCTTTCTAAAGATCCAAGTGTGCAGGAGGGGATGTGCTTCAGTGCTATGTGATAACCAGGCCATCTGACAACAAACAGCCCTGAGCTATGGTGTTTGCCAATTTCTATGGTGTAAATACTGCTGCTATGGTTGAGAGAGCTTCTGTGACGTCCTGGCTGTCACAAGCTCATACAAGTTCTTGACACTGATGATACAGTTCAGCCATAATCTTTGGCCTCTTCTGAAAAGATAAAATTCACCTTTCAAGACATCACTTAGGGAAACTCAGAGTAGGTCGGGTATATTCAGTCCTTCCCCCACCCTACCCCCACACACCTGCTTATGGCCAGACTGAGTCCAACTCATGGCAGAAAACCAGTCTGGAATCTGAAAGGAATTCAACACTAGAATCAACTCTTAGCAATTCCGAAGGACCAACCCAAGGAAGTCATCCACAATGTTCACCTTCCAGCAAACACACTGGCCTCAGAGTGGGACTCTCAGGAACCCCAGAACAAACTGAGTTTCTGGTGAGGCACTCTTCAGAAACTGTCCCCCTTGTGAATTCTCATTCTGCTTCTGACTCAAAGAACTATTTATGTATATTCATTCATGCTTTAATTAACACGTTCACTTGTGTAGTCAGCAATGATCTTGAGGGTTAGACTTTATGTGAATTCAATTCAGGAGATTTAATTTGGCCTCTGATCACCCTTTTAACCAGGACACAAGCACACATTTCTTTCTGACCATGTTTTCACAAGGTCAAAGATTCAGACACTCGCTGGGTGCTAGTGGCTCTTGCCTGTAATCCTAGCTACTTCAGAGGCCAGAGATTGGGAGGATTGCAGTTTAAGGCCATTCTGAGGAAATAATTTGAGAGGCCCCCATCTCTAAAATAATCAGAGCAAAATGGACTGAAGGTGTGGCTCAAATAGATCACCTGCCTTGCAAATGTGAAGCCCTGAGTTCAAATCCCACTCCCACTGAAAAAAAAATTCAGACACTCACCCCCAGCCCCACCTCAACTTCATCCCCAGATGTGCTTTACATCCCTTCTGGTGTCGAGATGGTGATGGCTGCTGTTGGAACCCATGAGCTGTTCAGGACACCAGATGCTTACCTGGCTGCCTATTAAAGGAATAGCTGGGAGGGGGTCTGTGCTAAAGAACAGGAGTTTAGAGACAAAGTAGATCAGTGGACGTGTGTGTGTGTGTGTGTGTGTGTGTGTGTGAGTTTCTGATGTTCACTTAAGCAAACGTGTCCAGTAATGTAATACTTCTTGCCTAAATACTAACCTCTTCAGGAAAACACAGGGACAGAATATACCAGAGCCCTGCAAATTTATCATGCTGCTCGATGTTAAGTAGTCAACTGTGTACCCTGCACGCATGTATTCAAATATCCTAGTGACCACCATTAAGAAATACAATTAATGCCTATTAATCAGAAATAAAAAGGAAATGTAGACATTAATGGTGCCAACTTTACTGAATTTGATTAGGTTAACTTGTGAATGAATTAGGGAAACTGACTTGTCAGTATGGCTTATTGAGCTAATCACAACTTGAAAGGTTCAGACTAGCAGCAGAAATACTAAACTTAGAAGATTTTTAAAAATAGAATAAGGACATTCTGTGTCATTCAGGTTTGTAATTATTGTCCTCTTTTCACTAAACAGTATCATCCAAGGTAACATATGCACTGGGTAAGTTTTATTCCATTTAGAAAGCATTCAATATCAATCTGAATTTATTTTAAAAGAAATATTTGAATGGCCTTGAGTCTTGGCTCTTGGCTTAGATGGTAAAGCACTGGCCTAGTAAGTGCAAGGTCCTGAGTTCCATACCTAGTACTAAAAACAGAAAAGAAAAGAAATCTTGGGAAGTAACCAGGAGCCAATGGCTCACACCTATAATCCTAGCTGCTTGGGAGGCTAAGATTGGGAGGATGCCAGTTCCAGGAAAGCCTGGCAAAAATGTGAGACCCTATTTCCAAAACAGCCAGAGCACAAAGGGCTGGAGGAGTGGCTCAAGTGGCAGAGCCTGTTCAAACACCAGTACCAATTCCTCACCCTCAAAAGAAACATTTGCATTCATACCGAATGCCGCTAGCTCAATTCACACGAGGTCATCATTACCTTGCAGAGTTTATACACAGTAGATAGTGATGTTTCCACATTTGTAGTAATAAGAAAAAAATCCCTCCATTAGCAATTTCTACAAAAAGATGAAACATAATATTCATATTAAAAAGATCACCTTAATTTTCTCTTTTTCCAAAGAAGTGGAGAGAAGACTTTTTGTAGAGGAGAGTTTAATACTCAGTGTTGTCTGTGAGAATAAAAGTTGAAAGCAAACTCAGTGCAAAAAATCAGGATGTTCTTCACACTATGCTGAATGTATAAGACAGAATATCATGACACCTTTAAAATTGTTTTTAAGAAAAATTTAAAGTCAGGAATGTTTCCAATATCAAACAAAAGGATATTAAAATTTCATGTGTATGCCACAATTCTAAACTTGTAAAACAAATAAATGTAGTGCACATCTACTGTACATGGAAGCTTATATAAGTTCATGACCCTGGAGGGAAAGGAATCTGCCTGTTAGCCATGGGTCCTCCTCAGGTGGGAGGGATACTGATATATGATTGTTTTCCTTTTCTTCAAATAAGCATGTTTTACAAATGTTCTGAAATGAGTACGTGCTGTTTTTAGACTCAGTTATTTGAAGTAATAACCCACAATGTCTACAGGTCTCATCTTATCATTGCCCAGCAGTCACCCCTTTTCTCTAAAATCCTTCTAAAGAAGACTAAATCTAACCTTTCTATACCACAGTCCTCTGATGATCTAGGCAGGGCACAACCCCAAGGAAGAGAGTTCAGATGACAGAGCAAACACAATGTCACTCTGCTCCAAAGCCAGAACACCACCACTAGGGAACCTGTTGGCTGTCTGGCCCATGAAGACAGACAGATGGAACCACTGCAGATATGTGGCCTTAAGCTTACTGGCTTGGCTTTCCCAGCTGGGCTAGCAGCGGTCAAGGGCAAGGCTAAGCTGAGCCTCTGAGGAAGGGCTGGGTGAGGAGCAGATGTCCAGGAGAGGGGCTGCTTACCTGTTGCGCACTCCAGGGCCCAGGCGCTGGCAGGCCACAGAGGTGGTGGTGTGTTTCCCGCCATTCCCCACCTCCTGCTTCACGTCCCACTGCCGGGGTTCACTGGTTTGCGCGGTCAGGATGTTCACACCTTTCTTCACCTTGGCTCTGTGGATGGAGACGGACAAGAGGGAATCACGGCATTAGAAAAGCTGCCAAGAAGCCCTAAGCTGGATTCTCAAAGTACACAGGAGGTGGCCACGCTAGGCGCAGGGAGAACAGAAGGGAGTGGGGGCACTGCAAACCAGGGCGTCATGAGCTTTCTGTCCTGTTCTAGGATGAAGGAAAGGACCTGGATTTCCTTATATCAAGAGGGGGCATAGTGAAGTGAGGATTTGGGGACACACTGCCTGGGTTAACCATCCTCAGCCTGGGGTGTCTGTATCTTTCCAGGGTTGTTCAGCTATGTCTGGGGGACATTTTGGGTTGTCACAACTGGGGCACTGGGTGTGTTGTCATCCAGTTGGGAGAGGCAGGGATGCAACTGAACATCCCAAAGCCCATCACCAGCCCAAAGTGGTGACAGTGCCAGGGTTGAGAAGCCTGGTCTAGGGGTACACCTGAGTGTCACTGATTTCTGGCTGTGTGACTTTGGGTAACTCATAACCTCTCTGTGCCCCACTTTACTCCTGTTAAAAAGAAGGGATACAAATAACCTCTATTATATATCTGCCTTTGCACTCAAACATGTCAACAGCAGGGAACACGCATGTAACACGTGTTAGCTATTGTCAGCACTCTCCAGGGCAGTGACAGCCTGCTCAATGTGACTTGCCTGGTTCACACTCCACAAAGGCCAGCTGAATCCAGGGCTTTCTTGGAAGCCACAGAGCCCTTCTCCGTGCTGTCATATCCCACACCACTCATCTTCTCTGGACCTCACTTTTCTCATCAATCAGCAGAGGAGAAAAAAAGAGGATTGAGCACAACCATGTGTGCCCCCAAATCTTCCTTAGAGGATTGCCGTTGTGTGTAAAAGCCTAAGCCCATAAGGCAGAGAAGAGATGCTGCCCCAGAAACAGACCTGTGGAGCTGGAGGAGTTTCTGCACTACAGGAAAACAAGTTAGCAGGACTTAACACTGAGTCTTATGCTGTCGTGAGGAGCTCTGAGAGCCTGCACACTGTGCAGCAAATGCCCCAGGATCACGACATGGTGTCCCAGGCAAATCAAAGTGGGAATGAATGAAGAATAAAATAAAGAGGATTCCAGCTACATCTGTTTATGTAGCAGTCACATGCAAATAAACTTCTTTTTTCTATGCAACAGAATGACTGTCCAAACTTTATATCTGGCCTGGGGGAACAAGAACAGGCACCATATTGAAAATGGAAGGGTCATGTAACCCTACATATTCTAAGCTTTGGGATTCCTAGGTTTTTTCTCTTCCAGGTTGGACTGTCACCTTCCAGGAATAATACAGGATTCTAGAGGTCTCCACTACCCTAAACACCAAATCCAAAATTACTGACATTGGGGTCACTTGAAACAGCCATCAGATCCCCTCTTCGTGAGGCTGTGGTCAGCCAGGGCCACCCATGGGCTTGAGTGGCTAACAGCAAGTAGCTGCCTGCCCTCTTGTACTAGCAAACAAACAAGAACTGTTAGACACAGAGAGATGTCTGTTCAAGAGATAAAGACCCAAACAGGCAAACAGAGAGGCTAGACCTAAAGGAAATGGAGTTTGTGCAGAAAAGAAGATAGTTCAAGACAGGACACTCACTCACCTCTGTGGAGAGAAGAGAAGATATCGCCATTGTGAAGTGAAGACAGAACACACAGAGAGGAAAAACAAGCTCTTCAAAAAAATGTTGTATCATACATGCAGAGTCAGAGGGATGGTTGATAGATAAAAGGGGAGGACATCTCCAGGAGATTAAGACAAAGGGATGGAAAATGTGGAGAAAGACCAACGTTGAGAGTGACTTCAAAGCTCATTGTGTGAGTAACAGAAAAAACATCACTCTGTATCATTAATGATACAAAGTTGATGATACAGAATAATAATAATAATAATTTAATAATATTATATTATTAATAATAATAATTAATGATACAGAATGTACATTAATGATACATGAGTGATACAATTCAGGAAAATGTCCCCAAATGGCAGGACAAGAGTTTTCAGTCTAGACTGGAAGAGCCCATGAGGCAATGAGCACTTTGTATGAAATAGGACCACGCTGAGGCACAGTCAGTGGATGTCAGAACACACAAAGCCACACAGTTATTGGTTGTCAGAACATGGAGCACGCAGTGACCCAGAGAGAAAGGGTAATGGGTAGATGCATGGATTCAGATCGCCTTGTGGAAACTAGAAGGTAGTGATAAATGTCTTGACTGTTCAAACAGAAGAGATTTCTAACACAGGATTCTGTATCCAGCCTCATGAATTCCATGTTTCTACACATTTGAGTTCTCAGAACTTTACTCCATGCTTGGGAAACTACTTGGGACACACTCCATCCAACCATAGCAGGAGCCCTAGAAGGAGTTGTGAGACGGGGGAAGATGGCCCGAGGCAGTGGAAGGGGATGGTGCCCGGGGGTGATGAAGGGCGCAGGACGCCTGTAGAGACTTTCACAGAAACTTGAGGTTTCCCTCACATATGTGATGTGAACAAATATTTCACAAGAAGACTTAGATAACTAGTGAGAAGTCTGAGTATGAACAAGAGCTAAATTCTCAGAACATCAAGAAGGATAAACCCACCTCAGTTTTCAATTCCAAAGATAAGAAATCATGCCAAAAAGAACAGTAATCAGAATTTTACACTTGGTTTTATTGTGATCCACACATGTACTTATAAGAAACACTGAATATTAATCTAGAAAAATATGCTCGGTACCCGGATAGAAAAGTGATATAGATTTATCCTCCACAGCAGGAAATTTGTGGTTCCTGCCTACATTTAGGAAATATTAACACCAGAATATCATTTAGTGATACAGAAGAAAATATGAGATGGGGAATTTTGCCTTGTAGCAGTAGCAAAACAGAGCTGAATATACAGCATTATTTTGTAATAACTTTGGTTTTGAAATAGTTTAAGAGTTTGAGATTAATGAAAGCTGCAAAAATACAGAGTTCCTTTTATGTTTTCCCCAGCCTCCAGCTCCGCCCCCAGTGCCCCTGTGGTAATACTGAAGCTGGAGGATTGAGAGCCTCCACTCAGCCTTGCTGGCTTAGGCGTTCAGCTGGAAGGAGGGTCGGTGTTCTGGGTTCTTGTCTCACAAAGCTGAAGGGTGAACTTCACGGACAGTGAGAGATTGAGTAAAGCAGAGAGTTTATTGAGATAGAAAAGCATACAGTGGTGGTGGGGGGGGTAGAGCCCCCCGAATTGGGCAAGGGGTTCCAAGACAGAGTGCCCAAGAAGTGACATGGTCTGAAGTTTTTAACCATTTTCTCAAGCTCTATGCAAATTAGGTGTGCAGAAAGCAGCATTCTGGTTGGCTGTGCCTGCAATGTTCTCATTGGGTGTGTCCTAATCCTCACTCTGGTCCTTCCCTTTTCCTCTCACCCTTTAAGGTCACAGGGAGGTCATAGTGGAGGGTTCCAGGGACCCTTATCTGAGTATCACACATAATCATCGCTCAATGTCAACACACTGTTGTCAAATACATTTGGGATGGTACTGGACCTCAGTACAAGCCTTATGCACAGTTCACATATTTTCCCTTTGGAATCAATTTCTGTGAAGTCATCTCCCTTGCATGGAGTATGGTACCCACACCACAATTAAGACAGGGGTTCCATGGCCACAAAGAAGCTCCCTCGTGACACCCTTCCTAGTCACCCTGCCCCACCCTCTCCCTGACAAACACTGACATGTTCTCTGTCATTAAAGTTGTCAGTTCACATACAGTTTTGCCAGCAAACTATGCAGAACTATCCAAAGTTTTAGACCACGTGAAAAGTTATGTTTTATGAAAGCAATCACTTAAAAAAACCACATGCGCACACACAGGCCACCCCCACACACCCCTGCTGACATCCCAACAGAAGGAGATACACCATAATGAGTTGTTAAAAGGCTTCACAAACCTGAGAATGTGATTGCCAGCTTGTCGCCATGAGGGAACTGGGGGCCGGAGGTGGTGACAAACCACATCTCCTCCTGCCAAGCTTAGGGGAGGAGCCCCCAGGGAATCAAGAGCACCTCTGAGCCACAGCGGCCACCTTCTCTTTGGAAGCACACCTGAGTCTCACGGTGAAATGTTTGCTAAGAACCCTGCTATCCCCGGATGCAAGAACATTAGGAAGCTCGCACTTGCTGGACAGCATCTAAAGACACATTAGCTCGGGGAAGCCCCCATCATTCCTAACACGGGGAAGCCAACATCTCACTGTACTGACGGCGTGGACACCTGCTCCCTCTCTTGCTTGAAATAAAGACCTTCTGCAGTGGGCTTTGTTGCATTTGGATTTTGCTCAAGATTCCAGGTTTCATGGAAGCTACAGGTTGTTCTTTCTGCGTAATCTTAGGTCACAGAAACCAGAAGTTCTCTTCAGCTGGACAGTGGTTGGCTTCATCTCCAAAGTGTGGGAGAGTGCCACGGGTGTGGGAGGATGGCCAAGCATTCATTCAGAAGGCTGTTGGTGTTGAATGGAGTTTTTTTGATGTGAAAAATGGGTGTTTCTGTTGCTTCAAGGAAGCAACTGGGACTAGTTTTGCAACTAGAACTGGCATTGACAAGGCTGTAGAATGAAACCCTCAGTCTTAAGGATACCTGGCTTCTGGGTCAGGAGGAGAGGCAAGTTGGCCAGTGGCTCCATGAGAGGCCTTTTCTCAGCATGGATGCACGATGGGAAGGACAGTGGGCTGGGACCAGCAGCCCAGCTGCAGCCATGCCCCAAGGGTCTCTTTCATTATCTGCTCCCCATGTAGAGAGTAGCCAGGTTGTGTGGTCCCCAATTTGTGGGAGTGCTGTTGATGGTCACTGTGGAGAAGGTTTTGTGTTCAGAGACACTGAACAGGGCTGAAGGACACTGGTGCTATTGTTTTTTCATTTGTCACATCAGAATTGAGCATCTGCTGTTCTCATTGCCATGCTGGATACCTCAGTCCTGAACCAGGTATGGGTCAAGCCTGGTGGCTTCCAGCTC